ATCCACGTTGTTGCAACAATCAAGCAACAATAAAGATAATCACTATAATGAATTGAAATGCATAAAACATTATATCCATGAGTCCACAAAGATATATAAGAAAACTTTCTTGGTCACCTTAGGATGCTAGAGAACCAGCTCATTATCTTAAAAGCTAGAACATTTATCCTGCATTTTCTATACAAAGCATACCTCAAGTAACTAAGCTGGTGAGGGAAACTGCTGTTATAAAGCAGTCCAGCTAATAAATAATGAATGATGGAATTAGAACATCACCATTTGCAACCCCTAATGAGTTAATGGATCTAGGCAATAATCATGAATGGCTGCTAACATCACAAAAAAAAACAATAACCAAACATTATTTGCCTCTTGGCAGAAGCATCCAGAATCACCTATGAAGTATTCTTGCCCCCCAAAACAAACCTGAATCTGATCAACCCTCCAGATCTAACTACCAGTTTATGGAAAGCTCAGGGAGGAATACACCATCACTACCACAGAGATACAATTAGGGAAAAAACAAACAAAAAACAGACTACAAATACTACAGGACAAAACAACCTTGTTTCTTCAACAAAAATTTATGAGGAAAAAAACAGAGAAAGGAATGAGAATCTTTATTTCAAAAGTCTTAAGAGATGTTAACCATTTTAATATATAAACCTTATTTGAATCCTGATTCACAGAAACTGTAAAAAAAATTTTTAAAAATTGTGGAAATTTAAGCATCAATTCCTTATTTAATGATTTTAAGAAATTATTTTCAATTTATTGTGATAACAGAGATGTGGGTATGTTTATTGAGAGTCCTTACCTTTTTAAAATTAAACTTTTTGATATAACTGTAGATTCCACATGCAGTTGTAAGAAATATTACAAAAAGATGATTCGTACCCTTCACCAGTTCCCCAATGGTAACGTCCTGCAAAACTATAGTACAATATCACAACCAAGATACTAACATTGATACAGTCAGATACAGGACATTTCCATTGCTACAAGGTTCCCTCTCATGTTGCCTTGTATAGCCACACTCTCTTCCTTCCTACCTACACCTCCTCTAACACCCAACAACCACAAATCACCTCTCTAATTTCAAAAATGTTATTTTAAGTGGAATCATATACTACACAACCTTTTGGGACTGGCTTTTTGTACTCAGAATAATTCTCTGGACACTCATCCAGGTTGTCCAGCGTATCAATAGTTGGTTCCTTTGTATTACTGAATAGTATTCCCTAGCAAGGATGTACCACTTCATTTAATCTCCATGGTCTGAAGGGCATCAAAATTGTTTCCATTTGGACTATTATGGATAAAGCTGCTATAAGCATTGGTATAAAGTCCTTGTTTTTTAAAGATACATACTTAAATTTGTATGGATGAGATATGATGTTTCAGATTTGCTTCTAAAAATTCCAGATGGGGTGAGATACTAAAAAAGTAACATTGGCCATTAGTTTGTAAATGTATTATACTATTAGCTCTACTTTTGTATATGTTTATAATTTTCCATAATATAAAGTTTAAAAACAAGAAGAGAGTAAGAAACAATTACCTATCTGACCACTTCCACACCCACATACATAAACACACACATCTTCAAGTAAAATTGAAGGTATGCTTTCTTATCTTATGACTTTTAATTTGTGCGAAGATCACAGGAGTTCTTTACCTAAAACATAGAGCCCACACCTGCAAGTAATCATTATTGTAACATTCACTGTACCACTTTGGGCAGATCCAACCTAGGCATCTGTTAACTTTCTTTCAGAAGTTCTTTATTAGGCTACAGGGTTGAGATAATAGGTAATTCATAATGTTGGACAAAAGCAGGTAAGTAATCACCATAATCAAATGTATGAGATTCATTAGTGGCTTGTCGTCAAAAGAGAGGGTTCATGTCTGACATGAACAGGTCCTTATCATCAAGACAAATGCTGAGAGAACAAAAGTGTGATTACTAAAGATGAAGAGCAACAAACTATATGAGCACAATCAAGCCTGAAGATGAAGTGAAATGCATTTTATATTGTGTGAAGGCTGCTTTTGTTTTTAAGCCACTCTGAAGGACAGGATATTATTATCATGTTCAGTCTGCGAGCTAATGGTTCTTTAGGGTAATCTGCAAAATGCTATCTAGTCTATCAGCTCATTCTCCCCTAGTGCTGTATCACAACCTCCCCTTCCCCCAACTGAGGACACTATTTTTTTCTTCACGTGCAGTTTTACAAAAATGAAGACCCATTCTCTCAAAGATCTCAAGCAAAGAAGAGCATGTAAATGCCAACCCATTAACTAATCTAGGATTAAAAGCCAAGACCACCAAAGGAGACAATCATGATGACTTTTGAATGCCAAGTAATGCAATGGTGACAAGTGAGTTTCCCTGGCTAGGTCTTTAATGCCCGCACATGCACCCTGACGAGCAATTCTAAAGCTTAAACAAAGTTTGTTGTCAAAAGTGGGATAGCTGTCCACAGATCAATTCCCATAAGACAAATCCCAAAGGAACACCTAAATGTTCCAGTTGTGTTGTAGTTTGGTTATATCAACCATCTGTCCCATTAAGTGAGCCCCCACACTTGGGTGTTAGAAATAATGCTTTTTGTGATTGGATTTGATCATTACTTCTATACTATGTCAGGTAGGAAAAGATGGTCCACTAACTGGCTGTCTACATGACACTTAAGGATCTACAAATTAAAAGATATTAGTCAATTACTTTAAAAACAATCAAAGTACAGATTGGTTCATTTCGTTGGTTTAGCAACTTAGAAGTTCTATCAATAGAAATCTATTGGCAACATCATATTAGGAAACTAAGAAAATACGGTTGAGTACAAAGTCTTGTTCATATGTCAAGTCAGAACAGAGACACATAGAATTAAAACCCAAAATGACATAGATCACCAGGAATTGTGCTATAGACTTGCCCTGAGATTAATAACAGGACTGGTAGTGACAGAAAAAGGGAAAGGATAAGAAATGGGATCAAGAACATAATGTAAAATGTAAATGAAAAGAAGCAGAGAAAAAAGGCACTAAAGTTAAATGCAGATGTACTTTTGCATGTCTTTGGCATCTATCTTCTGCCTCTAACATTTGCCATCTTCCTTGACTCTTACAATCAAACATTTTCTGGGTCCTGTGGATTCTGACACTAGAGTCTACATTTTTAGACAGCCTGTGGTCCCTGGCAAGACACTGGAAGTTGAAACTCTTAGCACTCACCTTGGTGCTTAAAGGCTAATCTAAACGCTCTGCATAAAATAAAATGTTCTTGCCAAAAATCTGAATGATGGATTTGCTTATATGTCTCATTCTTCTTCTTCAGCACAACCACCCATACCTGGTCTACAGAACTGGGCTGCAGAGGGGGGCCATTTCTGTGAGCTGAAGTGGTTTCAAGAAAGGAACATGAGAGAAAAAAAGGAAATACAAAGACAGAACAAAGGCAACAGGGAAGACAAGTCTGGAAAGAATTCCAAAAACAAACTACACAGGATAGCTTCTGGGAAATGAACAGCCATGTTTGGCAGGAGCTGAGACTGTGTACAGCAGAGTACAAGATAAGCTTGAATGGGCAGGCTGGAGCCAGGGAGTGGCAACCACTGGAGCCCAGGTGAGGCATTTAGAACACATGCCACTGGCCTTTGGACAGCTATGCAGGTTTGTGCATAGGCAACATATGCACACCGTGGTTAGGAGGATGTGACTGATGATGGGTGCAGGGAGGAGGGAGCAGACCAGAGTTGTGAAGCCTTACTAACGGTTCCAGGTAAGGCTAGAGGACTTGATCTAAGAGGGCGATGGTGGGAAGGAAAAGGAAAGGATTAACTTGAGGGGCCGTGTGAAATATGCATGTACTTAAACCTAATTTTGTCCTTAATTAGAACCTAGAAAATGGTCATTTGCAGTCACTGTCAAAGAACTACTTACAAGATGCTAAGGATTCTTATGTTGATTGGGAGGTAAACTGTCATTATTATGATCAAACACATATGAGGGCATAAAAATTCTAATGGCTGATAAAATCATTTTTAAAGGAAGCTTTGATTAAGCTTAACAGAGGCTGGGAAAAGATAAGATTTTTGATATAAGTAAAAATTATTTTTAAGGAAACCATGATTGGTTGCAAGGTGATGAGTATTTTTAAATTTCTAAAATAATTAACTGCTGATTTTAGCAAGGCAGTAATAATGACTTAATGATTGACAGATCTATTTTTCCCTACTTTTGCAAATCTACTTTTTATACCTGCTTTTGCAGATGTATTTTCTCTCCTTTTTTCAGATCGCTATTGCAAACCTATTATTAATCAAAAGTTAATTTTTTTGCAAATGTACCTATAAGCAAAACTCTGAAGCATTGTAGGTGACACAAGCTAAATCATGTACTTCTTAGTGAATATGCCAACTTAGTTACTATTCTCATTACTTAATACATTTTTATTGAGTCCTCACTATATGATAAGTACTGTACCAATGCTGGGTGTACAATACAGACAAAAAAGAAGTGCCTGGGTGGCACAGTCAGTTAAGCATCTGACTCTTGGTTTCGGCTCAGGTCATGATCTCAGGGTCGTGATATCGAGCTCAGTGCAAAGTCTGCTTGAGATTCTCTCTCCCCCCTCCCTCCCCCAACTCATGCTCTCTCTCTAAAATAAATAAATAAGAAAACAAGGTTCTGCCCACATGGGAATGCATAGTACATGACAAAGAAAGACATTAATTAAAAAAAAACTATCCAAATATATAATTTAAAATTGTGATAAGCACTATAAAGGAAAACTACAGCTTGCCTTGAGAGCTTATAACAGGGAGGAGAAACCAACTCTGGGTCTGAGAAGGTGTTTTAAAGGAAACTGTCTTTGTACTGAAATCTGTAAGGATGCAGAGGAATGAAATAGGAAAAAAAGAGTAGAGGAGAGAACTAGAAGAAAAGATGAGCAGAGGGAAAGAATCACATATAATAAAATAAAAGTACCCTCTAACCTGTTGGGTAATGGTGTCCCATGGCTCCTGCAGCAGCCGTGTCTTATAACACTCATGGATTCCTTCCCATATGTCCTTCAGAGTTAAAGGTCTTCCATCTGCAAAAGTGCATGGCAAAGACCATCAGTCAGTAATCCATTTGACACAATGATGTTTGGTGTTTATCTAAAACTACTAGAAGAATGTTATGATTTTTTTTTTAAATCTTTGCTAGTACACATATTACTTATATATCAAAAGAGTGCCATATGAATTACTATTTTCTTCCTGAGGGAAATTTAAACATTCAAGCTTCTCTCCTTTGTAACCATCTAGCAGTTAAATTATCTGCTCATTCACTGCCTGTAGGAATTGTGCAAAATAAATAAAATCCAAATGTATTTGAGAACTGATAGCTGCAAGCACAGGCGAAGGACCAGGCAGGCAGACTTCCACACTCACAAGCGTGCACTATGAATACCTCTGAAGTCTTACTACTTCCTCGAGTTCTTAAACCAAAGACGTACACGTTTCTTTCCCTCTCTCATTGACTATCTGTAATGTTCAAATCACTCTGTTGAGTACCACGGGGAATAGAAAAAAGGAAAGCACACAGTTTCTCCTGGTAAGAAGCCTACCATCTACGAGGGAAACTACGACAAGTATATCAATAGTACACTAATACTAAAATACTAGGTAAAGAGTTGTTGTTGCCAAGAGGAAAACTTCAGTTCTCCGACAGTACAGAGGAGGGAGACTTTAACATCCAGTGTTTGTGGCAGATGGAGAAAGGGAATTGTTAAGAGTGGAAGGACATGAGAAGGAATTGGCATGAAGAGATTAGGGAAGGGGATGTATTAGTCACTATTATTCTAGTGAATAGTAATTCTTTTTCTTTCTTTAAACAATTCAACAATTCACTTATATTTATAACAATCACAACAATTCACCTATATTCATAACAATCCAAACAATATATTTTATGAAGACCACTATGGCACTAGGAGAGAAATAGGGTATCTAAATTTGTAAAATAAAGTAGAAAGAAGAAATTACCTAAAGACTTTGAAACCATACACTGCTGGACAGCAGGTGATCTTACTACTAGAATTTAATGCTACTTGGCCCAAAGCTATCAAGTCCTCAGAACTTAGGGTTGTGCTTCCTTAGGCAAGTGGACAATAGCATTTAAAGAAAGCTCATCACCGGCGGCTGGGTGGCTCAGTCAGTTGAGTGTCTGCCTTCGGCTCAGGACATGACCCCAGGGTCCTGGGTCAGAGTCCCACATTGGGCTCCCTCTCTCAGTATCTCACTCTCTCAAATAAATAAAAAAAAAATAAATAAAAAAAAAAAAAAAAAAAACTATAACACTCTCACTCCCGGGAGCTTTTTTTTAAAAAAAGTAAAGAAAGAAAGCTCATCAGTATATCAAATCATTAGACCCAAAGAAGTATTTGGTCATCAAGTGCAATAAAACTTGGGGAAATAATCTATCCCAACCCCGAACCCCCCCACCACCAAGCAAAAGGTATTGTACTCAGATTCATGGAGTTTAAGTAGAGATGTAGACTGCAGGAAAAGAGCACTGGACTTGGAGCCCAGGCTGAATTTGAATTCTGCTGTCAGCACTTAACTCTCTACGTGACTGCAAGTTATTTGGCTTTTACCTGTAAATGAGCATAATTATCCTTCTCAAATCCTGTTCATGTGAATGGGCTTGCATCAGTGAATACACCCAGGACGGTGCCAGGCACAGAGAGCTTAATACCTAGTAGGTATCTCCTCCCAGCCCGCACTGCACCACTTCAGTACTTCCCATACTATAAAGCTAAAGGATTCACTTACAGACCACTATTTCTTAGAATTTTCTCAAGTTTCTACACCATGCACATTGTGTTTGATGATATAATATACTAATACCAGAGGCAGGGCATTTCTCATGTTTGACCAGAAAAGTTGAACTTTTCCTCAACCTTTATTTTCAATAAATAGCAATAGAATATTTTGATACATTTTCAGTAAGTATCTTCATCTTGGCATTTATCTGGCGGCAGGAGACCATTATCTTGTGATAAATAGTTTTATTCCATTGACATTTCCATGTCTGTAAAATGAACAAGATTTATTCATCCAATTAACATTTGAATGTCATGTTTAGGTACAAGTTAAAAACAAGCTGCCTTCAGTATCTGTGTTATATTGTTTTCTGAACACATTTACAGAGCAGGGCCAAACTTTGCCCTTAAGATAAGCACTACATATCTTCAAACTATGCACACGTGTGTGTGTGTGTGTGTGTGTGTGTACTGATGTTGGAAGAGGGGAGTAGGGTCTTAAGTACTTCAATGTCAAATGGTAAACCAAATAATCAAATTATAAAAAGATGACATGCTTTTAAAATAATTTTCAGATGTCGAAGTTATAAGAAATCAAGTTGTAGGATAATAAAATGTTAGAGCTGGTATAATTAAGGCAACCAAGGTCTTGGGAAACATACATCAGCCAAACATACATCAGCCAAAATTATGCAGCCAGTTCATGACTCAGGAATTCAAGTCTCAGTACCCTTCCCGCCATTCCCTGCAGCCTCTGAGGGTAGAGAATGCCCCTATCCTTTCACTACTGCAGCCCTACAGTGTAGTTCCAAGCCCCAATCACACATTGCAAATGCTTTATAAATATTTACTGAGTAAATGATAAATGAAAGGACACCCTCCTTAACTTTATTTCCTCTAAGACAGAGAAAGGCTTTGCAGACTTAGAGAAGAATGCTGGGTTTAATATCTGGCCATCAATAATGATTTTAATTTTACTCCTTAAAATATTTCAGCCTACAATCTGAGGATGGAGTAAGTGGTTCGGATATTACCACTGTCAAAACCCGCATACCCTGCTGGAACCATTCATACAAAATGCAATAATCAGCAGCTACCAACAATGTGGAAAGACCCAGAACAAATGTAACAGAGTATTTTCATCAGATTTGATGCTATGATTGAGGGTGTGTGACATATGTTTTCAGAGAACCTCAGATTTACAGGAAAACAATTAACATCTTACAATACAGGAATTAAAACAATGATCTGGTCAACTTAGAAATAACAGATAATTACAGAGTTAAAAATATTAAGTTCAAACACAAAAAGATGCATCATGCTCCTACATGCATGTTTGTAAGAGGGCTACCCACTTTCTAGAAAGAGAAGAGTGTTTTCTAAGTGAATAGATGTGACTGTATTCTCTAATGCATTTACAGACTGCTTAAAAATGCATGTATTAATGATGATCAAATGAGCCCTTGTGCAAGCTACTTTGACAAGAGTGCCAATCTCTCCAGCTTCTGCTGACCATCTACACTGCAGACGATCTGGCTAATACAGCTTTTTCTCTCACATACAGATATGACAATAATGACTGTGATGTGGGTTCTTTTCTCTAAGCCTTTATCATCAACTTGCCCAGTCAACACTCATGCCTTCACGATCAAAGACATACAAAAATTAGTTTTGTGATCTTTTATGCTAAAACAAAAAATTTTGACCTAATCAGCAATTTCTCCAAAACCATGTCATACACTACTGACACACAAAATATATTCAAAATATGATTGTTATTCTAATTATTTCAAAACCAAATGGAGCCTTCATTAATTCCACTGAAACCATTAAACGGAGACCATCAAATATATTTCAAAAATCACGTCATAAAAGTAGAGCTTAAATATTGCAGAAACTTGAAGAACTTTGTGATTCTGAATCTATTTATGAAAACCGAAGATCTAAAATTTTAACTTAAAATAAATTGTCAGCATAAACAAATACTTGGTTAAGCTCATGAAACACATTATTATGTACCTTCATGTTCAGTTGAAGGTATCTTCAATCAGAAACTTTAAGCCCTGTTAAGAGGGTCTATTCTTTTCTGTCTGGCCTCAGTCAGAGGTGACATAAGCATACTCAATCAACAACTCCCTAGTTTTAGACCCAAGATATTCAATAGCACCAATTTTAACATACTTAGAAATCTCATTAATCACACTGAGGCTGAGAAGCTCAGTCAAATCCCCTGCATACTTGAAAAATTGAAGCAGAAGCTGAAATAATTTCAGCAGCAACCCACAAAGTAAGCATGGCAAATTAAGGCCATTTATTGAATAAGTGTTTATTGAACACCTACTGTGTGCCTTTATCCCCTGGAATGATGATACACATTTGAGCTAAAGGAATATTCTGTCAGCAACCTAGAATGTCAATGATAAAAGAAGAAGAGACATTGGATGAAAAATAGAATAATTAAAAAGTACAATCTTTAGCAACTGCCAGTAGCATTTAATTTAACAATTTTCATATAAAATCTCTCAATTGAATAATAACCTACATGTCAAGTAATCTATATATTACTCAAAATGTGCAGCTCTCTAAATTAAATTTCTCAGGGCTATTAGTTTTCATGAATCAAATAATAGCATGAGAGATTTCATTGGTACCACCTAACTCTAGTGCAAGCATGCTGAAGTCACCTTTATCCTATTGTGCATGGTTTCACTAAAATTTCGTAAGTCTTAAAATGAAGATTACAGAGAATATACCTTATTTACAGTAAGTTTAAGAATAATGTTCTGAATGTGGTCACTAGAAATAAAAAGGAGAGGGTGGCTTATTCACAATGAAACACGGTGTTATTCAATATATTGTCTTCAAGAGAGCTTTGAAGGATATAAAAATTCATGTCATACTCCACAGTAAGGCAGAGATGATGCTCCACCAAAGGGGAAAATTCATTTTTGCTTCAGTGAGAAAACTGCATTGTGATATGAAATGAGTGTTAATTGTTCATGTACATTCGTATCAGTTACTATGCTGCCTAATTCTGTAATTTTTATTTAACCCTACATACATTTTTAGCACTTTATATCTTTATTAATCTCAAGAAATCTGAATGCAAATTCCAAAAATACAGATTATGGCAACTTCTCTTGACTTATGTATGACATTGGTTAACTTGTATGTTTCCTGAATTTTGGTTACTGTATCATGTAGTAAAAAAAATGGGCTAAAGAGTTGAATCTCAACCCCATAGTTTTCTATGCACCTTTGAATAAATCATTTAACCCCATCAA